AGAAAATAAAAGAAGAACCCAGATGAGAACAAGACCTGTAACAATGGCTGTGAGGCCAGTTCCATCAATTCCTTGTGTGACCTCCTCAGCAGTAGAGCAAGCTGAGAACCCAGATGGCCCTTTCCATCCAAAAATCCACATTTTCTCTGATATTGATCACAAAACCCAAACAGAGTCTTCTTCTTGGTCGGTCAGTGTTCTACTGTAACTGACAAAACCAATGTGATACATATACACATATATACAATATCTATTACAAGGTCATGGTTGATTATCGGGTTCTTCGTTGACTTTTGAAGGGAGTGCCTCGACACGTCCAAGGACAAATCAACGATGATTTTGACAGCCACCTGAGCCGTCGATTTCGTTCGGGAAAAATTGATCGGATGAGATCGCCTCTCATAATCACGCACTCAGGTACCATTAACATAAGTGATGAAAAAAAAAAAAAAAAAAAAAACAAAAAACATAAAAGGGCAAACTACAATGACCTCCCCTGAAGTTTGGCCTAATTGCAACTTAACTTGAGGTTTGCCATTTTTTTGCAAAGACACCCCTATATCAAATTTTGCCATAAATTTACTTATCTACCCCTTTATTATATTGTTAAAAATAAACAAAAATATCTAAAAATAAAAAATGACCATTTTGCCCACTAATATTTCCCACTATTCCTCTTTCATCTCCGTTGCTACCAACCATATATATACACACACTTGCCCATTACAATAGATGAGACCATGGCAGCGAGGATGGCTGGGTCTGCAACGAAGAAGGCGCCGAGGTTTGGGCTTAATGTCGAGACTGATGTCGACATGGCGACGGCGATGATTCTGGTTTGGCGGCAAGGACGCAATGATGCAGGTTTCCGGCGTCGGAAAGAGAGCCCCTGGCCGGAATTCATCGCCTCCTGCGTATTCGACCGCCTGGACTCCCTTTCCGACGCCGGATTCTGGTTCCGACGAAACGTGACTACTTCGGTGTGAACAACAGGATCTTGATCTCCACATGCGCCGCCATATCCCTCATCGAAAATCGGATCACAGACGTCAAAACCTCCACCACCGCCACTAAAATATGGCTGAATTCACTGCCAGTCTGCCACCATTAGAAACGCCCCCACCACCGCCGATTGTGGTGGTGCTACCGATTGTTGGGAGTTTAGGTTGGTTTTGGCCTCTGCGAAATCATCCGAATCAAACCTAAGAAGAAAGAGAAAATCGAGTGTAAACACATTCATCCATCGACCCAAATGTCCGAAGATCTCACTGGTAGTGTGGATCAGAGATCGATATCATGAATCAAGCTAAGATCGATATCATGTATATGCCCTACAACAAACTCTGAAATTCCAACCCAATCTTTTATATACATATATATATATATATGACGGCTTGTCTGTAATTTCTTGGGTGGTTGCAGTGATATATATATATATGTTGTACCCACCATCAATGAACCAAATAGATCCACCACCTAGCCATACTTCCCTTCCACATGCTTCCTCCATTGCGAGATGGCAACAAAATAACCCAACCAATAATTAAAAATCATATTGTTGATTATAGGCAGGGCTTGCTGGTGAATTGAAGGTAACTGTTAATATAAGTGTGAATATGTGTACTTAATTTACAATTATATTTCTTCAATGTATAAAAATCGGAACCAATTCGTAACATGTGGTGTTACTGTAAACTTCAACCTCTGGTCGTGAGAGGTGGGTGAGTTAGAGAGAGAAAGACGGTCCACTGGTGGGAGAGTTCGAGAGAGATGAGTCTGAGCTCTCTTTATATATAAGGGTACTTTGGTTCATTATTATATATATATATATATATTTTTGTTATTTAATAATAATATGGGCATTTTGGTCACTTTTTGTACATAGGGGAGGTATTTGCAAAATTGGTTAAACTTCAGGGAACACATTACAATAAAATGATAAATCTTAAGTTTAGTTGCAATTAGACCAAATTTCAGGGGAGGTCATTGTAGTTTGCCCAACAAAAAAACAACCACCTCAATAGCATGCGTATCATAATACTATAGCGTAGAAATCACTTTTAAACTTTCAATGTAGTGCAAATAATATCATTTAAGTTATAGTTTGATTAAATTTTACTCATACACATATTTTATATATTATTTAAAAATATATTATTTTATAAAATGATAAAAATTGTTACTTAATACGCAAGGGTAGGGATGGCAAAATTCTCATACTCGGCGACCCCCGCCCCATTCTGCCATCTTTATGGCGAGTTTGGAGACCCATTTTTGTCGATGAGGAGGGGATGAAGATTGTATTTGAAACCTTAGCGGGGATGGGGGCGGAGGAGGGTAACTCCACCCCTCCCCGTTTGTAGTACATTTTTACAAAATTGCCGTTACATGTTATAAAATATTATCAAATTATATATATATATATATATATATATATATATATATATATATATTCACTTCTCAAAGTGAAACCCCAGATCTATTCCCACTCAACATAGAAAAAAAATATAGTCGTTGTGCATCAAACATCTTATCATATTTTAAATTGTTATAATTGTGCTGAAATTTTATTAAATTATTAGATTGAAAAATATTATGGTTGTGTAGATTTTGTTGAAGGTGAATTGGAACTTAAAAAATGTTATGCGGGGCGGGGGCTAATGGGGTGGGGGTAAAAAACTTAATGGGGGATGGGGATTGGGAATAAGATCCCTGTCCCACCTTGCCCAATTGACATCCCTGTAGAAGGATGTGATAGGCACTGTAAATATATTATAAGGGTATTTTTTGCACTTTATAAATTATTATTATTTTGAATATTTTGATCGTTAGATTTAATTAAGAACGTAATTTAAAGATCTTTCCAATCCAGTAGTTTAAGACATTCTCAAATCTTTTCCAATCTATATTAGGACAATGTAGCTCAAATCTTTTCGATCTAACATGTTTATAGGTCAAACTTAGGTCAGATCTTTCCAATCTATTTAGGATAATGTCTAGGTCGAATATTTCCAATCTATTTTAGGACAATATAGCTCAAATCTTCCCAATCTAAGACAATGCCTAGCTGCCTTTCATCCACGCGGATTATTTTCAATAATATATTGTTATCTTGTCTTTTCTATAATTTCATGATTTATTTTGTTAGACTTTGTTCCCTGTATGTATGTATGTATTATTATTTTGTTTTTCTAATTATATTAAATTTCTTATATATAATAGGGCAATAAAATGTGAAAAAAAATCTAGAACTATTATTTTTTCACAAATAAAATCCTCTAGAATTATTTTGTGACAAAGAACCCTTTAATCAATGGACCAAACCAAGTATGGGTTTCCTTGAATTACCATTGCAATCAAGGCTAGCTAGCAGTCTAAGGGCTACGCATTCCCCGCCACTGGATCTACCAGGGGATGGCAACGGGGCGGAGTTGGCTAAACCCTATACCACCCCGTTAAAAAATCCATCATACCAATTTCGCTCTTATTTCGGGACAGGTTTTTAATTGGAATATCATCCATGCCCTTACTTTATTAGGCAAAATACCGACTTTGCCCCGCGTACTCTGTTTTATTACACGACAGAATGGATTATGTCACTTTTATTATGTAGTAAAAAAAAATAAGGTCTACCTACAATCATCAATCTACTCTTCTTCTAAATAAGTTCAATTCATTTTGTCTCAACCTTGACATAAATTGTTGGATAATTGACCTGTTTGTTGGTGATAGGGAGCAGAGATGTTCATATAAAGCAAATACGCATTTGCCCCTTGCAAAATTTTACCATCAACTTTCCAAAAAGAGAGATCATATTATCCGAACTAATGACCTGGTGATAGCCACCAAGATCCAAAGGTAAAATTCATTCATATAACTCAACAAAAGATTACACAACCCTACTTAATCAATAATTCACACATAATTAACATTTACGTACCAGATCCACATTACATTCAAGATAAAAAGGAAAAGATAGTAAGGAAACAGAGTGAAAGAAAGGCAGGGACGAGGCAGGCATGTGGCAAGCGTTATCAAAGAGTCAATTTGAAATGAATGTGTTTTCTTTTTTTCCCTTCAGTGGATAGGTTTTGATCCATTTGACCCACAACATTTCATGTGAATTAAGTGCGTGCCAAAAATGCTTCATAACAGCACACTCATTCCAGAGGACTAGATAGGCAATCCAAGTCCACCAGTTCTTTTTGGAAGATAACATTTCGCATTTAGGGGTTTGGTTCTTACTAAATAATTCATATTCTGACTTCTTTTTTTATTTTTTATTATAAGATTATGATGTTGGTCCAAACAATCAACATTATGAACTATAAATACTGAGGGAATTTATCGGGATATGTGGATCCAGAGACTTCATGTGTGCGGTGTTAAATATATTATGAGGTATTCTAAAAAGCCCAACAACACCATAGTCGGAAAAAAGAAAAAATCTATTAGCGTCCACCTAACTAAATATTGATATGTTTAACTCGAAATTTCTCTGCAAGCATAAAAATGACTTGAAGTATTTTTTTTTATTAAAATTAAATTATATTATACAATAACAAAGGAAAATGATATAAATTTAAGAAATTCAGAAATATATATAAACACAGAATTAAAATATGGTAATACATCAATAATTAGCTAGCTTAATTTGACAATTAGACATTTGGTTCTCATAAGATGGTAAATACTCTGAATAACTACAACTACTGTTTTATAAGATTAAGAAGAGCTTAGTGAAAACAACGCATAAAAGGCCTAATCTTTGTTTAATTTTTTCCCCCAAATAGTCCAATAACAAGCTTCCAAACCCTAAAAAAATACTAATGCCGAATGGATCTAAATGACATCAATATTTTGATCCACAGATGAGGATGTCAACATCATAACTTCTATGGTATATACACGTATATAGTAATGAATGCCACATTCTTCCTTCTTAATTAGGAGGAGCCAACAAACATAATTGCTAGGAAAAGATTTAAAACCCTAAAGTCATGGGTTCCCTTACGCAGCCTAAGCTTCCTGTTATAAACTTCTCCGAGAAAAACTTGAAGCCTGGTACAAATTCTTGGCTATCAACACGAAATGAAACTGTGCGAGCTCTGGAAGAGTTTGGCTGTTTCGTAGCAGTGAATGATAGAGTTTCTTTGGATCTTCACAACTCAATTTTTCAAGCATCAAAACAGTTATTTTTTGATCTCCCCACATAAACCAAAATACAGAACACTTCTGATAATCATGGCTATATTGGACCTGTGCCTGCAGTCATTCCTCTCTATGAAAGCTTGGGCATAGAAAATGCAACAACTCTAGAAGGAGCTCAGAAACTCACTAATGTCTTGTGGCCATCCGGAAATGATTTTGTCTGGTATAGTTTGTGTGTGTGTGTGTGTTTCCCAGTAATTAAGGTAGTGTAATTTGTGATTTTTTTTTTCTTTTCCGAATTGTCTATTTAACTTTATGTTACTTGTGTTGTTTCTTGGTTAGTGAAACTGTACTTTCCTTCTCAAAGCTAGCATCGGAATTAGATCAAACGGTGAAGAAAATGGTATCAGAGAGTTATGGCATACAGAAATACCACGAGCATCTTCTTGGATCAACGTGTTACCTGCTTAAACCTATAAAATATAGAGAACCCAAAATGAATGAGACTAATCTTTGTATCCTCCCCCACACTGACAATAGCTTCTTCACCACCATTCTTCATTAAGAGATTTAGCAAGATAGAGAGTCGAGAACTTTCAACCACTCGCTAATAAATTTATCTTTTGACCAGGTGGAGGAGACTCCTTTATTCATTTTACATCTTTGAAGCTTCCTCTCTCCTTCTTTCTTTTTGACATTATTTGAAGTCTTTTATGCAAATTCCCTTAATTTGAAATGAATGTGTGTTCCTTTTTTTCACAAAATCCTTAACAAGATATCAAGTCAATGACGAAAACCGTCAACCACTCACTAACAAACAAATTTACTTTTTAACTATGCAGAAGAGACTCCTTTATTTGTTTTACATCTTTGGAGCTTCCTCTTTCTCTTTCTTTCGGACATTATTTAATTCAAGTCTTTTTCGCAAATTCCCTCAATTTGAAATGAATAACCAAAGTGATAAGAAGCATCTATCACTTGAATTTAACATGACACCAAAGTAAACAAACATCTTTCATTTGAATTTAGAAGAGAAAATGTATGCCCATATCACGTAGACCACAAGTTTCATATGATATGTAACCAGTAACCAGCATTCTTTTCAACGAAAGAGGAGAGAATGGGAATGTGACTATAGTTTATCCAGGATGACTGCACTTGTCAATTATATAGAATTACAATGAAACAAATCTGAAAATTGCCATAAGTGTAATAATAGAATGAAATAAGTGGATTCTTACACTGAAAATACGTAGCTAAAAGAAGGAAACAGAGTGAAAGAAAGACAGGAACCGCATGTGGCAAGCATTATCAAAGAGTCAATTTGAAATGATTGTGTGTTACAAAGACCTTAACAAGATACGAGTCAATAACGAGAACCTTCAACCACTTACTAACAAATTTACCGTTGGAGCTTCCCCTCTCCTTCTTTCAGATATTATTTAATTCAAGTCTTTTTCGCAAATTCCCTCAATTTGAAATAAACTTGTGTTCCTTTTTTTCACAAAGACCTTAGCAAAATACCGAGTTAATGACGAGAACTTTCAACCACTCACTGACAAATTTACCTTTTGACTAGCTGGAGGAGACTCCTTTATTCGTTTTACGCCTTTGAAACTTCTTCTCTCCTTCTTTCAGACATTATTTAATTCAAGTCTTTTCCGCAAATTCCCTTAATTTTGAAATGAACGCCCAAAGTGATAATAAGCATCTATCACTTGAATTTAACATGACACCAAAGTAACAAACATCCTATCATTTGAATTTGGAAGAGAAAATGTATGTCCATATCACGTGGCTCACAAGTTTCTTACACTGAAAATACGTAGCGATGTATAATGGATCGAGAGTTCCCACATTTTTGGCATACAACAGTTCGTCATTTCTGCTAATATTCTGCAGTTCTAAAGTTGTTTGGAATCTTCAAAACCTCACAGCACCTCAAATGTTTGTGAGGATAATCATTTGATAAACAACAAGAATTTATTGAATTCACCTCCATATAATAAAGGAATGACACAATAAAATATTTTGTACATTCTAATTTCTGTTTCAACTGTTTTCTGTTTTCGAACTCAACGTGTCAAATTGTTCCAGAATTTCAGTTTTCCAAATTACTTCATCACACAAATGAGTTCCATAACTTTCCAGATTTACCCAGAGCACTCCGCAGATCAACGGTCAATTATCTCAACTACTTGGGATCGGTCAAGCCCAGACTGAAATCCCACAGTTTCTTTGCCAGTTCTGCATCTTTACCTAAAGCGCTCGGTTTGGCTACATTATTGTCTGAGAAATACTCACCGCTCACCCCCTTAACTTGCGGGTGCAATGCCACATAGCATGTAGTTGCTGCTCCCTAGAACCAGAACAAATGATATTAATAAGCAAAAAGTGTTTTATAGAAACATCTTAAGCAAAATAAATGGCATAAACAAGCAAACCCAGCAGGATCTTTGTTTTGAAACACAAAGATTATTGTATTCAAGGAAATTCTGCTGTGTATGTTGCATTAAATTAGAGAACATACCTGCGGAACATTTTTAAGCACATATTTACTGATCATATTTGCAATGCCTGCAAGGGACCAAAGTATTATTAGCAAATCAGATAACTGTCATATGCACTGAATAAATGAAATAACTTTTGAGCCAATTATAGGAGATGATGTGAAATGTTTTAAAAATGATCCATCAAATTCAAGCGTCATTCCAAAATTTATGAACAGAACATTTCCAATACAGTGATGGTACGGTAAACAAGTGTAACATAGCCAGAGGGAATATATAAACTAGCACGAGAAATGGTGCTCACTTCTGAATTACCAAAATGTTATCTGAGAAAAAATCTAAGAAGCACGGACACGGATACGACACGACACGGACACGGCGACACGGCAAATCCAAAAAAATTAAGACACGGACGCAGCGAATAGTGTATATATATATATATATATATATATATCAGCATTAATAATTTTTTAAAAAAAACACTGATATGTTTAGGTTGGAATATATATATATATATATCACTGATATGTTAGTATATATATATATCAACATCTTTAGGACACGGACACGGCGAATTGTGGCATCTTTAGGTTAGTATATATATATATATATCAGCATCTTTAGGGTAGTACAAAACAAAAAATAGAACATATCAGCATTAAAAAAAAAAAATTTTTTAAAAAAATTAACATATCAGCATTAAAAATTTAAAAAAAAAAAAAAAAATTCCAGAAAAGTGTGTCCGAGCTGTGTCTGAGCCGTGTCCGAGCTGTCTAAGCCGTGTCCGAGTTGTCAGAGCCGTGTCCGTGCCGTGTCCGAGCCGTGTCCGAAAATTAAAAAAAATAAAAAAATTCCAGACACGTTTTTTGACGTGTCCGACACGTGTCGGGGCGTGTCCGTGTCCGACACGTGTCGGACACGGATTCTTCACCCATTTTGGAGTGTCCGTGCTTCCTAGGAAAAAATGAATGGTTTACATATACTATTAGAAATTTAGACTTAATTCGTTTCATTTGCATTCAACATTTTATACAGATGCTTTTTCTTTTTCTTTTTCTTTTTTTTTTTTTTTTTTGGTCAGAAATCATCTCTTGCATTTTACCTCTTAAAATTGCATCCACTAATCCTTCACATTAGTGTATTCTCTAGGAGTAATATGTAGTCCATTGAACTGACATAACAGAGCCCTTATCATAGACACTTGCCCATTCTAGCTTTGATTTCACCTACTGCATTCTACAAGGTTTTATCCAGGCGCCCCTTGGACTCATGGCTACAACGTAAACTCTGGATATCCACAAGATTTGGGTTAGTTTTGGGGTAGGAATAAATTTATTCACCTGAAGTATTGAAGGTTACCAAAAATAAGGATCGGCAATGCTTGGTTAGCCAGCAAAAGGCATGGATGGTCAAACATACGAACCAAATTTGAATCCTGAGAGCAGCCAATTTGTGCAATAGTGCCAAAGGTTAATTTTATACCCAGTTTACAAATCCCAACAACTAGGTGATGACACTGTACATAAATAAGGATTTTATACTGATACAAAATAAGTAAACTTATTTTACCTAATATTTTAAAATGTGTCCCATTATATTAAAAAAAAACACTTATCAAAAAAAAAAAAAACGTAAACTTATTCATGATCCTAAACAAATAGAGAATCACCACAGGATTTGTTATGAAATTGAATCACATCAACTTGACAAGTCACAATATGGCCACGTAGATTTCTGGAGAATAGAATTAGATACAAATCATATAGATTTTACCATCAATAAAGCTATGGTGACGAAGAAGATTGGTGGCAATAGATCCAGGATGAAGTGAATTGGCAGTTATCGCCACGCCTTCTGCCTGGTTAATTGTAGAAAAAGAATCAAAAATGTAAATTAGATTCTCTCAAGCATGATAATGAAACAATTATTTATGTCTGAAACGATGGCACCAGTGACTGTTGTCATCGTTAGCACCTCGTCTGAATAAGCTAAGACCTACATGAACTCTTAATTACAAGAATTGTATACGACATTCAATCCAAAAGATGATGTAACTATTTATTTTCAGAGAAAAATAACGTTGACAGTTTGTCTCTACTTGACATAGTTGATCACTTCAAATAGATAACTTTCCTGAAGTGGTAGGGTTCAAACTTAGGTTGCTCTTAGTCGCCAGTAACATTTAAAGAGGTATTTCATGGTACTAGACCAAACAACAACAAAAGATTGTTGCAATTCAACAGAACAATCGTTTCTAGTTAAACAAAATCTGGGGGGTCAACTGTTTAAAAATCAGGGGTCAACATAATGAGAGGAATTATGCTAATCATAGAATCAAGGTAGAATGGGTTTAAATAGAAAAGTGCGTCTAAGATATTGTGTGATTGGCGTATCCCTCTAAGTACTAAAAGGAAAGTTATATAAAACAGCTATTAGACCAACCATTTTTTTGTGACAATGTTAGGCAACTAAGAAACAACATATATATTGAGTTTGACAAAAATGTGAACGAAGAGAAGAAAGTACAGAATTAAAAATCAACACATTCATGAAATGGTTGAAGTAGCAGCAATGGCAGATAAAATGAGAGAAAATAGATTAAAATGGCTTGGACATGTGCAAAGAAACAATATGTGCACCAGTTAGGAAGAGTGACATGGTCCGCATTAAGTGCGTGGAGAAGGGGAAGACCCAGATTAATATGAGCAGAGTTCGTAATGAAATAATAACATGTGGTTTGACTAGTGCCATAACAATGGAGAAAAATGGAAAAATAAGATTCGTGTAACCGAGCCCAAGTAGTTGGAAAAAGGCTTTCTTGAGTTGGGTCAAGTACTAGAGAGAGAGAGAGGAGAAAGTCTTAAACATCTTGTCTTCCCTGCCAAACTGAAGTACTAGATGTATCACTAACACGGCTGCTTAAGAGTTGAGAAGATGTCAAATATGCAGAATGAAAATGTGGATAACACTTCTTCTCTTTTGGATTAGTACTACACACAAACATTTGTCCCAGTCCAGAACTTGCCTTCATTGGGGTGGAAGGATATACCATAATTGTACGTGGTTGACATATATGATATATGATAGCAACAACTGAATGGG